CATGTTGATACCAAGGAACTCAACTTTAGATTTTTCTTTTATGTGATATATGGCATTATATCTGTTTCATACTGCACAGAGGACACTTTTCTCTGCTTCTAGCCATGGTTTTGCTGTTTCTATAGAGGTGAAGAACTTAATATTGTAGTAAAAAATGAACACCTGAATTGTTATTTAAGTTCAGTGATTTATTTTATTGTGTTATTTATTTATTTTTACAAATTACTACAAACTAATTGGTAATAAAGAGGGTCACTCAATTTTATCCCATTGGGTATTTGGCGCTGGAAACTGTGAATTTTAGATCCAGCAGGTTTGGATCATTCAGATAAAATTTATTTAAAATGGATGTTTTCCTTTGTGACACAAAACTTAACTGTTGTTTTTAATTAGGTCTTGTCCTGAATCATTAGTTTGACAGAAGAATTTTACAGAAATGAAAAAACTGCATCATCATGATTGCACTGAAAACATTCAGTCAAGGTATAACATTTAATTCATTCATTCACCGAGCACATCTGCATCTGCGCTGTGCCCTGCAACTGAACAAACTTGTTAACAAGTGGCCCTGCGCACACAAACACACAATGAGAGAGAGATTCCAGTGTGACTGGTACGACACAGCAGCATATAGCAAGAAGGCGGGACGTGGATTACGTAGACGTACACACCATGTCCGTGCTGCCTGGCCTACTTGTTCACTCACTTCCCCTGCTTTGTTTGCCTCTGGTCCAGTGCCAGCGTGATGTTTGCGGGATGCAAATGCTTGGCTGAGTGATTCATTGCAGTGTGTGCGTGTGTGTACTGTACAAGAAGAGTATGTTGCCCGAAGAGGCTGGCAGGCTGGTTCAGCTCTGTGTGTGTTTGTGTGTGGCATGCCGGCTATTCGAGTTACACAACCCCAGCTGCAGTTGCATCGGTTGTGTCATTGTCAGTTGGAGAAGCGAGTCTCCCTGGATGGAGCGCTGCGTCCTGCTCTTGCTATGTTCGCTGGAGGCTCTGCGGCCAAAAAAAAAAACTTCATACATCTCAAGGCCCGACCTCGACACATTCGCCAACAGACGGCGTCACAGTGGAAACGTTGGTTTTAATGTGTGCTGTGTTGTTGAATGATATTTACCCAGCAGTAGGCTACAGTTTTGTTTGGACAATAAATGAGTTGCTTGAATGTACTGGTCAGAATTAATAAAGCTCTTTATTGCTGAGCTGGGTTGAGCTGCAGGCTGTGTAGATAGAGCAGTTAGGAGACGTGAATAGAAACCAAATAAATATCTAAGCAGTAAAACACCTAAAGTACTCAGAGACACCTTTTTTTCCCATTATTGTTGTATTTTTGTGTGACATCTACTAGGCAGTATGTAATACAAGAGTTTTATTTGGAAGATAAAGTAATGGTTGGAATCTACTAATCAAAATGAATAAAGCTCAGAATGGAGTTATTCATTCTGACATTTTAGCTGAACTCGGCTGAACTGCAGACTGTGTACATAGAGCAGATAAGAGACATGAATGGAAACCAATTAGAAACGTAAGTAGTAAAATATCTGTAGTATGTAGGAACACCTTTTCCACATTGTTGGTCATACCTGTGGTTTCTTGGGGGAAAAAAATGTTTTGAATGATGATGATGATTCCTGGATTTTTCAGTTTTTGTAAAATAAGTAACTTTTATTTTTTATTTTTTTCGCTTAAAAAAATATTTATGGCATCATAACTGTGTCATACTGCACAGAAGACTGTGCTGAGTTCTAACTGTGCTGTTTCACCAACACAAGGCATCACTGTGAAAACATAGATTTTAATGTGTGGTCTGTTTTTGTGTGACATTTACCCAGCAGTAGGTTATAGAAGAAGGTTGTGTTTGCTGAAAATAAATGAGTGGTTTAAATCTACTAATCAAAATAAATAAAGCTCAGGGTGAAGTTATTCTGACTTTTAAGCTGAACTAGGCTGAACTGCAGGCTGTGTACATGGAGGAGATGTGTGAAAAGCAATTTAAAATGTCGGTAGTAAAATACCTCTAGGATGTAAAAACACTTCTTTTTTTTTTTTTTTTTTAAATCATTTTTGGTAATGTATCTATGATTCATTCTGACATACACAGTCAGAATAACTGAAATCAAATTTGACAGTGAGGTCTTGTTTTGTCAAACCCTTCTTGGATGTAGCTTGGGTTTGTGGCATTTCCATATGCTAGTCCCCGTTTTACAGACACGTACACACTAACATGCATACTGTCGCTGCAGTGCACATGGGGCGATCATGCAACCCGGTCCTCGTGTCTGTGAAAGATCAGATGATCACAGAGCATCAGCTTGTAGCGATCCTGATTCCATACTCCCTGTTTGTGGACAGCTACAACAAACGGCCTAGTGTCACGATGACGTCAATTTGGCTACGACCGAGGGCTAATCAGCTTTTTTTTTTTTTTTCTCCCCTCCTTTGTTGTTTCATGGAGCTTTCAGAAGGCTTACAATTTAGCAAGAAGTGATTTACTGCAGCCCGGCACGCTCTAAAATTCCTCTCTGTATTCCTCCTCACATGTGTAGATTGTTTACGGAGAAGAGGAATTCTAGAGGGATGGCGGTCCGCAAGGGGCTTGGTTGCTATGGTTACTAACCCCTGAGCTGGGTTCCATTTAGCAGGAAGGAAGCTAAATTATTTGCAGACAGAAAAGAGTAAGCTCATGTAAGGAAAGTCTAATGAGTCAAAAACCTCTTCATTCATTCATTCATTCATTCGTTCATTCATTTATTTATTTATTTTTGTCACAAATTAGAAATCGGAAGAATGAATTTTGAGCTTTTGCTTTGCTGAGTCAGTGATGGAGGAAGTATAGTAAAGTGTAAAAAAAAAAAAAAGTCAGGTTTTAATAGTTTATAACTGCAATCTTTTGAGCAATTAATTGTTTTGTTTTTTTCTGGTTGTGTTAAATTACAGATATTAATCACAAAAAACACATTATTTACATTTTAACCGTAAAAAAAAAAAAAAGTAAATAATGTCCACATCAAAAACACATTTGATATTAAAATGACACTTTTTTTTTTTTTACAGTATTTAAAACTGGAAAATAAAAATTTCTATAATATAAAGAAACAACTATGTATATTAAGTACTGAAAATTTGTAACTTGTTTGTAAAATGTTATTTTAAAAATGTGCACTGTCTTGTTAATCAAATAATCTTGTAAAATCAGTGAAAAAATATAAATTTTTCCGTCCGTCCGTCTTCTCCCGCTTATCCGGAGTCGGGTCGCGGAGGCAGCAGCCTCAGCAGAACCTCCCAGACCTCCCGATCCCCACACACCTCCTCCAGCTCTTCCGGGGGGACCCCTAGGCGGTCTCAGGCCAGTCGAGAGACTTAATCTCCAACGTGTCCGGGGTCTTCCCCGAGGCCTCCTCCCAGTGGGACGCGCCACTGGGAGATGTCCAGGAGGCATCCGAAAAAGATGCCCGAGCCACCTCAGCTGGCTGCTTTCAGCGTGGAGGAGCAGCGGCTCTACTCCGAGCTCCTCCCGCGTGACTGAGCTCCTCACCCTGTCTCTCAGGGAGCACCCAGCCACCCTGCGGAGGAAACTCATTTCGGCCGCTTGTATCCGCGATCTTGTTCTGTCGGTCATTACCCACATCTCATGACCGTAGGTGAGAGTTGGGACGTAGATTGACCGGTAAATCGTGAGCTTTGCCCCCTTGCTCTTCTCTTCTTTATTCCTTTATATGTTCACTTATTCTTATTTTGTTTTAATTCAAAAAAGCCAAATGTGTAAGTAATATCCAAATCAAAAATTGCTATTTTTTTACACATGGTAATTTTATGTATTACAATGTGTGAACATGAAATGTTGCTGTATTTTCCCAAATCACAAGCTGCTTAGAGGTAGTAACATCCTGTACCCATCACTTTCATCAGTACATTTTTTTTAGGCAGAGCAAATTTGACAGACTGTCTTTTTAACTCATCTGTCTGTAAAGCAGCATACTATTTTTTTCATAATCTCAGAAGGCATAAGGGGCTAGGCCTCAGTTATTGACTAAAATGAGTTCAAAGGGCATTTTTCTGGGGATAAAGTGTCATAATTTCGAAGGTGATCAGAATTTGTTTATAAAAAATCAAAATCAGGAAAGGTGCTAGAATCAACATTTCAATTAACTATTAGTGAAGTCAACCATTTTTTTCTCTACTTTTTGGGGCGTAGAATTCTAAAGTAACAGGAGATGGAAATTTAAGAATACCTCAAAATTTGAAAAAAAAAATATTTAGCTATATTTCCCTGCTGGATTCAATAAGATGCACTTGTACTGAAGATTTTTTTGGGTACCATAATGTTCTGTTTCATAGTTCTTACTCAGCATTCTTTCCTTAGCTTGACAAGTTTTAATACTGTTGAGTTGTTTGTACACATAGTTTTAGATCGATGACATGTTTCAGAAAACTATGCAGATACTTTAATTCTGCGTTCTCAGAGACCCCAACTGTAAAACATGGTTAAATACATTGGACTCTTATATCCTGTGTTTGTGAGTGTTGTTGAAAGTACTTTTTCTAAGCAACACCCTCTGAAATCCCAAATAATCGTCACACTTTGTTCACACGATATCTCTCTGGGTTCCAACTAACCATGAGTATATTTAACATCACCATGTGGGACAACTTATAGTGCATTTTTTTTGTCTGTGAATCAGTAGATGATCCACATAACATAAGATATTTTATAATATAATACATTGTTTTATTGTAATTTCAGTATTTTGTCAACCTCATCAAATATGAAAACTCAGTTTGTGGCAAAGATGGTGGCCAGATGGTTCCTTAATGCATATTTTCATACAATTGGGTTTTATTAAGATCAGAGAAAAAGAACAAAAGCTTTCTTTTACAGAACTGTTTCTTTGGAAACTGCGTGTGGGTTAAAATATTAATATGAAATAACTGAGAAAATATCATATTTATGGAATGATTTTTTTCCTAATCCTTGTGTTCTTCTTGTTCTCTTTCAGACCACATTAACAGAGGTGCAATTTGGACCAATGAAGTTACTTAAAGACCCACTTCAGGTACCGTAAAACAATGCAGACCGTCTGAATGAGTGATGCTTATGTGCTTGAATGCATTCAGGCTTTACGTAGAACAACAGTTGTGCTCCAGGGAAACATTCATGTCCATATTGTTGAGGGGTTTTTAGAGGAGCTGTGGAGCTGAACTTGGTGTGATTGGTTTGGTTGCATTTCTTAGGGGTCAATATTTCAAAACGTCACCAGCGTTTGTTTGCACTTTGAACTAATCTTGAATTTCTCAAAGATATCACACCACTCCAAGAGCTTAAAGAAACAAAAAAGTCCCCATGCAAACATTCAAAGAAGAGGACCAAAAAAAAACTGTTAATGGACGTATTGTGTGGAATGCAGCCTTGGGTTGTCACGGAAACGAGGCCAAACATTTATGACCAAGAACATAACATAATGAACAATACGCGTTATGGAGGGACTGCACAGAGGATCCATGGACCAGTTTTGTCACTGCAGATCGGACATTCCCTGGCATTTAGTGGTTCATTATACAGTTTGTCCCTTTGGCATGTGTTGCTGCTGTTGTATGAAAACTTGGAAACTGGAATTTGACATTTATTTTACGAAATTTGATTTCAAGGGTGTGTTGCAAAGCTGAACATTCATCTGTTTTGATAATCAGTTTATTGATTTATTCATTTTTCAAGTAAAAATGCGGTGGGAAGGTAACTGGACTTCTTCTTTTGGTTCCTAAAGATGTTCTACCGCATATCAAAGAGGCTTCTTCAGTTCTAATCGACTGATATGGAGTCTCATATTATATATATATGACCCCCAAATCACATAGCTAATGGCCCAGTACTGACCAAGAGCTGCCAACCTTGAGGTGTGAGTTGTTGTCAAACTGCCAGGTGATGGATGATTTAAAGTGTTACTGGTGGTGAAACTTTCTGCGGAGAGAGCTCAAGTCTGCACTAAAAGTACCTGATAAGTGGTGTTATAAACCCCCTCCTCTGCTTCGAGATGGCTGCTACAGATTAACATAGATGGCATCTCTCAATCCTCAAACCTGGGTGCATTCCAGTTTCCATACCACCCTACTATATAGCGTGCTAACAGAAAAATTTAGTACGTTCCAATAAGTAGTATGTCAAATGCAGTATGCAAAAAATATCCGGATATCCATTACATCCTGTTGGATTTTTTTTTGGTATGCAAGCCAGCATGCTTTTCTGGCCATTCTGACCCACAATCCCCTGTGCAGTTATGTTAAATATGTCTCACACAAGTATAAACAAGCTTGAAGCACATGGACAGACGATGGCTCATTTTAGACTGAGTCAGTTAAAGTTTAAGGTGCATCATTGTGACGAAATGGTATCTCCCAATTGTATGTCTACTGCATGAAACTATACGTACTGGGGACAACTGTATTACATACTTACAGTGAAAAGAGAAAGTCCATGGTTTGTTTTCGATGTCCACCACAGAGGAAGGGGTCTACAGCAGCACTTATCAGGTACTTACAATGCAGTCTTGAGTTCCTACTCTTGAGTCGACCCTCACCTGGCAGTTCTACAAACATTTGTACCTCAAGGCAAGTGAGTCTTGGATTATTGAGTCATGTGGTTTTGGGGTCACAATGCAAATATCTGTGACTCCCCTTTAGTCAGTTAGAACTGAAGAAGCCTCTTGGATGAAGATGAAGCATCTTCAAGAACCAAAAAGACAAGTCCAGATGCCTTCTACTGAAGTTCTGAGAACTCCTATGACCTGAATGACTGAGAATCTACACAGACAAGTAAAAATGCTCAACATTTGCTGGTTGAGAGACATGAGAACTGGCTTCTTTTACCTTTTATGCATTAACTGAACACTTTGGGAGTTGGTCAGACAAAAGAAGATGTTTGAAGATGTCATCTTGGACTTGAAAATTGTCTTGACTTTGTTATTTTCCAGACTGTTTTTGGTTGCATATCTGGTGAATTGCAATTACAACACAGCACTGCACAAGACTGCTAATACGTGACATGTATGGAGCAATGAGGATGTTGTATAAATGAATGAGAGTCAAACCAATACATTCAAAGTGCTGTGATCTAATGCCGTGTATAAGTGCACAGACTCGGCTTCATTGTCTGATGCGCTCCAGTGTGACCACGGTAGGAAAACGAGGTAGAGAGATATCCCCTTCCTGTTTTTGTCACTCACAGCTGATCCTGTCATGCCCTCCTCCCGTCCACTCCTCCTCTTTTCTCGCCGTGCACAGGATCTGGCCGGGCCCTCGCTGTTTTCAGCAATGATGTTTGCTAGACAGAGCGATCAAGCCCTGCCAAAATGTTCACTACCCCTTTCAAACTATTTTTTCCCCCCCTTCCCCTCCCTCTTTGTCTCCCTGCCACATTCTCTGCCTCGTCCATGTGTTTCTCTGGAGCAGCGTATCCTCACTTCTCAAACTTTTTTTTTGCTCCAATGTTGCTTTGAGGTTGTTGGACTTTTTGGTATATCTATTTAGTCCCAGCACGGGCTTCTGAAAAGACCTGATCTCAGCCTATATTACCCGTTTTCTCCACCTCAGCGGGAATGTTGACTTTTCTATCAACATCCCAATGTGGAATTCTGATCTAATTCCCTGTGCGTACCGAACATAGCTGCAGGACTCGGAGGTGATGTATTTATGACCCGGACCCTTATTGCGGCTTGAAGGGGAAAATGTTCATACGTGGAATATGGTTTGCATTAGCAACACCTCTCTCGGGCCTAATGGCTTGCCGCTTCACACTTGAGGTTACCATTTAGGTACTCAAATAAAGGCCACGCCAATTGTCAGCATGAATCAAAAAGACAACTGTCAAAACAGCCAATCCTTTATCCCGTCATTGTGCGCAGGACAGGACTTTTAGTTTCCTCAACAAAGTCAGGCCTTTGTGTCCTAACTCAACCTTACAGGTGTGATGCAAAACCTTAAAACTGCAGAACAAGCTTTCTTTTCTTTACGTTCATTCTGCTGCCTGCCAACAGTTGGAGATGACGTCTGTTTGAGAGAGTGACTCATGAATCTGCTCTTAGTGCAGCACTGCTCTTGGAGGCGGGCCTAAATCTCTGGTCCAGTATTTACGCAAGTGTGGGGTTATATGAAAGTACGGTGGCAGAGAGAGAGTGTGCTCTCAATGGCTGGTTTGACGGTAGCAGCAGCACTTTTTCGACCACAGCCTTGGCAGACTGGTGGGAGGGACGGCAGCCAGTCAAGGCCACCTCGACTAATTGTGTCATAGATCATGGCAGCGGACAATAAAATCTCTGACGCAGTACAAGCTGAGTCTGATCAATCAGGGCCTGTCCACCGGAGGCCTGAGGTCACGCTGCAGGCTGATTAGGACGACAGGCACAAATGAGTACAAATGCAACAATGATGACTTGACAACTTGGGGCTGTTGTTACACTGAGGCATCTGAATGAGGTTTTACTGCAGCTCTCTTTATGTTTTTTGCTGCACTAATCCTATAGCACAGGACAGGGCCACATAATTTGTGATTAGTTCGACCGATTTCTGTAATCAGAGCACAGCTTAATATCAATGAGCCCAGTGGCTCTCTTACTGTATGTTGCACACTAATTATTTCTAGATCTTTTTCACATTAATTACTTCTTAATTGTTACAAATCAAACACTGAGAGCTTTTTTTTTAATCATTATTATTGTTACTACTATTAAAGCAATTCATCAAGCATGTCATTGTGAATCAGATGTCACTTTGGGTTCAGGAGAATGTAGATTTTTTTGGGGCGAGAATCTGGATTCTTTGTGCATTTGCCAGCAAAATCTAGCTAAAACAAATTCTCATAGTACAAAGTGTGTGGAGCTCATACTAACAAATTCATGGTATCTTTTAAAGTATTTCTTAATACCTTTAAACACAGGAGACACTGTTTATCGTTTTGCTTTTTTTATTCAATATTTTCTATCAATTTAATATTGAGACATTATTTTCTTTGAACATCTAAACCACCTGTGCAGTACAGATGTTTTCTGAAGCCCTCTTAAACTCCAATTTAAGATGTGCAGTTTATTCATTGATAGTAGTAGTCGTAGTAGAAGCAGTATGACATTGCAAGAGGCCACTCAAAAGTAAAAAAAAAATGACTCAGCTGGAAATATGTGCTTAGTCATCTCTTCTTTTGCAGGTACTTTTAGTTTTTGCCAAAGAGGACAGTCAGAGCAATGGCTTCTGCTGGGCATGTGAGAAGGCCAACTTCAGGTGCAGCATGGCGCGAACACCCGAGTCGGCTCTTGAGTGCTTCTTGGAGAAGCATCACGACCTCGTCATCATTGACCACAGACATTCCAGACACTTTGACGCTGAAGCACTATGCCGGTAAGCAAAGCTCTGCCACCATCAACGCACTTCTGCTTTATGTTGTATTTCAGGAATTATATTGCACAGTGGTAATTTTTTTTGTCACAGCATTGATGATCTCTTTTGCCTGAGAACCGGCACAGAGTTTGAGCTGGGTGGCATTTAGGACTGAATAAGAAAATGTATATTTTTAATACAAGCAAAAGGAAAAATAATACAGTTGAGTTGTTGAAAGTTAGCTGCTAGGTCAATCAATTTGCATTCATACAACCACTTAGAGAATCTGGAGCTGAACACTGCAACTATTCATTCATTATTTTTAGTGGAAGTTTTCAAGAATTGATCTATTACTTGCTATTTATATGCACTACCTCGTGCTAGCTATTTTTTCTATTTCTCCATTCCTTTTCTGCATTTTCCTTTTACTTTTTGCTCTTTAGTTCTCCTTTGTATGGTAACACGATCACACACTGTAAGTCACAGGACATGCATGTACAGCAGACTCTAACTGTGGCTATATCTATTTAATTAACTTGCTGATTTTTATGTTTTCATATTATTAGAGCTACTTCACAGCCTCCATTCATATCTCCTGGTTTTGAATCACTGCTGCATACAGTTGAACCAAATTTTGTCAGCAACTGTCATGTTAAGCCAGCGACCTAATTCAGACCAGATGATCCTAATAGGACCAAACTACTTTTCATTTGTTACAGCAAATTTGGTAACCCTTGTGATTATGAGCCCGTGTGTGCGGCTCTAAATGTCCAGCTCACTTTTGGGCTTCCATTGCATGCTACCTAGCAGAGTTCATGTCACTGAGAAATTGAGCGGTGCCTGCCCATACCACTCTCTATCTTTAGCCTCTGCCCAAACCAAAAACACATTTACAAACATTCATTTGCCCTGCCCAGCGTGTATGTTAACCCTATTCATTTTGGCCGATCCATATGTTCAGTGTACACGCACGGGCTCTGATGGGGGAACTAAAGGGCCTTTATGACCACTGGCTGGGGGAAACCACAGGCGGATGAGTGGCCCTGTACACTGCATTCTTTCAGAGGCCTCGGCCTGCTTACAGAGCTCCACCACTGGGCTCTGCCTGCCTGGGAGAATCGGAGCGTGAAAAAACTGAAAAATACATTGATTTGATGCCACAGGCTTTTCCACCGGCCTCGCTCACTGGCTAAAAGGCTCTCTCTGTTTACATTCAGGTCAATTAGAGCGGTCAACTCTGCAGAAAACACTGTGATAGTCGCCGTTGTGAAAAGGTATGTACAACTTGGTCACCCCCTCTTCCCCCTTCTCTTTCTTTTTCTTGTCCTTTTTCCTCACTGTCATTTTCTGATGGTTAAAAGTGCTGTTGGAATTAAAATGTTTGGCTTAGTGGAGGTCTGTGGGCCTGCATTTTATCACACACAGCAGCCCTCTGATGTTCTCCAAACAAGCATTTGTCATGTTGATGTTTCAATGCTAACATGTGTTCTCTCTTTAAGGCCAGACAGAGAGGAAGCCTCTGTGATGCCACTGATCAATGCCGGCTTTAATAGGGTGAGCCGCATTATGTCTACATTTGTGCGTGCATTTGCATTATTCTGTTGAGATGTTTTATGTCTCAACTGTCAGCACTTACTGAAATGCAGAACTCTGTATTGTAAATCCCTCTTTTTTTTTTTCTTTTTTTTTTTGGAAATGGATGCATTGAATCTCCCGTGCATGAATCACTGTGTTGCTCTAACCCACAGAGATATGTGGAAAATGCCAATATGATGGCCTGCTACAATGAGCTGCTACAGTTGGAGCATGGAGAGGTGCGGGCACAGTTCAAACTGAGGTGAGTCGCGCAGTATTGCTGCACTGTTGTAGCTAAATTGTACAGTAGTTACACAATGCCATTGTTTACACCTTTTACACAGAGAGCAAGACATTATTTTACACAGTCTACTTTTTATCCCACTTTTTTTTATGCCTGTTAACCTTCCTCAAAAATACATAAATGTCCATTTGGAAGCAAGACACTGTTGCATATGTTAACAATGACTCTGGTGTTGTTGTCTCTCTACACAAGGGCTGGCAATGCTATTTTCACTGCTCTAGAACAAAGCCAAGAGGCCATAGAGATCACTTCTGAAGATCAAGTAATTCAGGTGGGTTTTTCTTAAAGTTTTCCTTCTAATTTTATTGTTGCAGTTTGTTTCCCTCTCTGTCCTTCCTTCCTGCTTGTGTCTCTGTCATGTGAATGGCCCAAAACCACCGTGTTTCCACCATATGCTCTCACATAAAATATACATTTGACCTCCACAAAATAAGCAGCGACTGTGACGACTTGTCTGAAAATGCATTGTTGCGTTCGGCAGGACTCACATGTCACTCGAGGTCAAGATCTCAACTGCGTCTGAACTCAGTTGTGGATCTTATAAACTGTAGATCACGATCTGATGCTCTTGTTGCCTCTCCTTCACAGTATGTGAATCCTGCCTATGAGTCCATCATGGGCTACCAACAAGGCGAGCTAATAGGGAAGGAAATAATAGAAGTGCCTAAAAGTGAGAAGAATAAGCCTGATCTCCTTGAAACAATAAACTCCTGCATACGGAAAGGAAAGGTAATATGCATTCATTAAATCACCTTTTCATCTACACTGTACGTTTCGGACCAAACACAATATTTAATGTGGCTTACTTAGTCCGGATCTTAACGCTCTGAACTCCTGTCACATTTTTACTCACTGTGGGCTCATTTTTCACTGCAGTATAAACTCCTGCATCTTTATGGAAACAGCGCAACCATGGCTAGAAGTAGAGAGAACTCAACCATGTCTTCTGTGTAGAATGGCAGAATTATTATGCCATAAATCATTGAAAAAAGAAAAGATGAATTTCGTTGTTTTTAATTTTAATTTTTAATTTTTATTTTTTTAATGAAAAACAAAAAAGGATTTTTAGCCACAGCATTTTTCCAAGTGCTGACAAGTGTTACCAATAGTGGGAAAAAAACTGTGACTCTATATACTATAAATAAATTACTACTTTAATTTCCATATTTTTCTTCTATTTGTAAACACAGCCTGCAGTTCACACTAGTTCAACCAAAATATTCCTGATTTTTTTGTCACATAACTCGAGTCTCATGGCTTTTTTATTTGCATCAAGGAACACAGATTTTGTTGTTTCTTGTAGATTTTGTGTGTGTGTGTGTGTGTGTGTATTGGTTTTCTGACTTTTTTTTAAAGGACACATGTAGGATACAGTGGTTTTGAAGAAAAATCCCAATTTAAAGCTTTGATTTGGTTTATTTTTCTGACAAAACTGCACATCAGCAATGTTTTTACTGTTTCTGGCTCTGATAGATGTTGTCATTTTGGCACGCAGAAGTTGTTTTTCAAACCCACCAGTGGGTTTTGGGATTTAGAGAGTTAATCTCATCAGGAAATGATAACAAAAATAATCCCAGTTTTTACATTGTAGCTTGTATGTGTAATCGTACAACCAATCTTGCGACTGGTTCTAGTATTACATACGTAGTTTTGACGTGCAATACAGCTGCCACTTTATATTTTCACAATCAGATCTCTCTTGGAAGAGCCACAGATATCTGCTTCTGCCTTCGTGTCTGTGCATGCATGCCTGCACATGCATCCACGTGTGCTGTAAGTCAGCACCACTGGTCATCCAGCCGCTCCGTTTCATGTGCACAAGAGCAGCGGCTGATGGCTGTGCCGTAATCTTACTACACAGAGAGCGAAGGTCAGCTCCAGACAGGCGAACAGCAGGAAGGGTCTTTTAAAGCTACTAAAGCGGTCTGTAGGTGGGGGCTGACATGAAACAAGCACGATGGACTCCAGGAGCTCTCCCCCTACCCTTGAAAGAGAGTCGCTGCTCTCTGAAATACTCCGACCAGCCCCACCTCACCAGCTCACCTGCTGCACAAACACCGCAGAGCTCACCCACTCATAGGATAGTTTAAATTTTAGATTTTAGCAGGTTTTTTGTTAGTTTTTTTAAGGATGAATGGTTGAATAAATATGTTTCTGTGTCTATGCATTACATGTCTGTTGGTTTTGTTGTGTTCCAGGAGTGGCAGGGGATTTATTATGCCAAAAAGAAGAATGGAGACAGCATTCAGCAAAATGTGAAGATCACACCTGTAATTGGACAGGGAGGGTGAGTGGCAGTATGAAGTATTAAACCTACTGCGGCTAAGGCAGTCTTGCTGTATGTAAATCACTTTTTGAGTAACTGAATAATCATACATGTATAACATATGAACCATTAATGATTTTGTCTTTTCATTTTTTGTGATGTGCTGCTATGTGTTTGTCATCCACAGAAAAATCAGACACTATGTGTCTATCAACAGGCCTTTAAATGATAATAATAAGGTGAGTTGTGTTTCTAGTTTTGGTGATTAATAACTGACAAGAGGAGCTTTCTGGCTTGCATGTGTCAATTTTTCTTTTCTCTTCTGTCCATGCAGAGTGATAAATCCAGTGAACGTGTGCAGGCAGAGTCTCAGACAGGTGAGATCCATCCGGAAATTCTCTCAAATGCTCGATATACAAGACTTTTCAGTCTTATCCACATGGAAGTTATTTCCATGACAGTGTATTGGGTGATTTGAGAATTTCAGGGCCAGAATTGTGCTCATCACGAGGAAGCACAGCATCTAGTTCCAGCGTTAAATGTGCAGATAACACACTTTGCTAATATTAACTGATTGTTTGCAAACACAAAATATTGCCGGCACCAAATATTTGCTGGATAACAATACATTGGAGATTTTCCATTTGGGGAACCTGAGCTTTGTAAACAGAAATTTTGGAAATATGTCAGCGGATGTATTGCACCATGCCAGAAAATCATTGTTTCCTTTAATCACGACCCAGCTTTTAAACAGTGACTAACAGAGTGTTCAGTTCTGCTTTATCTTGCTGAGAAATATCTAAAAAAAAAAAAAGAATTCTGTCTAGTGTTGGCCTTAAAAAGTGGCACGTACTTTTATTTACTTTAAACTCGACTATTGTTCCTTGTTGTATTGTGGTATCAACTGGAAAGACAATTCACAGCTGCAGTTGATTGCAAAATGCAGCAGCAACGCGACTTCTGACAGGTAAATAAAGCAGGGATCATATCTCTCCTGCACTGACATCTTTTCACCTGCTCACTGAAAAGAGGTGATTTTGAAATGTTGCTATTCGTTTATAAAGCGTTGCATTGTGGTCTTAAACAGTACATTTTACAGCAACTTCTAAAAAACACCCTTAGCTCCTTCGGTTTTGGTTCGAGGCTCTAAAGGTCTCTAGGTTTAAATCACGTTTTGTCAGCATACACAGCCATTCTAAGAACTAAACATTTAGATTTTCTTGCCTACCTTTTTAAATTGAAGGCTGTTTTTCATTTTTATTCAAAGTTTTTAATTTGCATATTGCATGTTTCTGTCATTTTGTATTAAAACATAAAGTATGTCCATAGCATAACTGTCTGTGTATTGTAAAGAAGCAACGAAATGCGTCCTTCCTACTTCCTTAAAAAGCTGGTTAGAGTTTTTTTAAAAATCCCTTTAAACCAAACGCCACATACAGATTTGGTTGTTCTGAGTCAACGTTGAGCGATTGTCTGATGGAAGATAGTTTGATTAAGGTTTATTTAAATGAAAAAAATCCAAATATTCTAGCAATTTTTAAAAACTGTTCTTATAGTCAACAAATTTCATGCTAATTTCATGGAAAGGCCAAAACCAAAAATGAGTAGATGCTGTCCAAAATGATGGCCTGTGTCGCTTAAACCCGTTACTTCATTACCATCGGCATCTGCACTGTAGTTTATTTTGAGTCAGTCTCACATATATGCTCTTGTTGCTGTAAAACTCTGACGAATGTGTTTTAATGTGCAGTTGGAAATAGCTCCCCAAAATCCACTATTTATTCCTGTGTGTGAAATGTTTGTTAAAAACCACAGTGCCATTGTAAAACCACTATTTTTGGTAATTACTGACCCCTTTTTTAAAAAACAATGACCCTGTTTATTTTTGACCAGCTTGTAAAGGTTTACCTTCCCAGTAGGAACTACCAGGCTGGAGGCGGCGTGGAAGTCAAAAAGCATTGTGAGATGGACTTAGAGAGTGTTAGTTTTGATCTTTTTTATGGGATTTCTTGATAATAAGAAAATCTAGATTAATACCATGCTTTTTCTTTAACTCTCTTTAACCCCAAGACGCATCTGGTTTGAAAAGAATGTTGTTTTTTGTATGTTTTTTTCATTAAGTGCCAAATGACACCATTTATCAGAGCAAGAAACTGTAAAAACTGAGAGAATCGTCTGATTGTCAATTGTCCGACAGTCCTCATCTGTTTTGTGCTGTTCTGACTGAAAAATGACCAAATCAAGACCTAAAATTGTGTTTCTGTCTATCCATGATTGTTGAGTTTTCCTGAGTGCGGTTGTATTCCCAGTGGCTTTTAAATATCACATGAAATTATCAGATTCGTTGGTTATTAATCTCACTTTTGTTCCCATTTTCCTCCAAACATCAAACAGAACTTATAAAAAGCGGCAGAATCAATAATTAGAGCTATAGTTTTCTTTTTTAAAGTAATAAACAACTCCATGCTGATTGAACTGACTGAGACATTTCCTTGTCTAGCCAAAAATATTGTAATAAGGGGTTGAATCGGCCTCGTCACTTAACCTGACCTGTGTTTCTGTTTGTATGTGTGTTAATTTGAGGTGTTTTTTTTTCTCCCCAGACATACAATCCAGTAAGCACAAAGACCGGAGGAAAGGCTCTCTGGACGTAAGATCCACAACGTCTCGGGGGAGTGATGGTGAGAGTGAAGGGAGATAGATGACAGAAACTTTGGGCGTTTCTTGTCAGCTTATGAATCCTTCCTAGTTGTCTGTTTGCGTCAAGTGTTAAGTGGATTCACACACAACCACAGTAATTAGATAATAGGTGGAAAATTGCAGCCTAACTTGTTTCTGAACCCAACCATCAAGTTTATCATACAGGGTGTCTTTGTTTTGTTTTTTTTTATTCTACCAGGGAGCTCGCAGCGAAGACACTCGTCAATGGCCCGAATCCACTCCATGACCATAGAGGCTCCCATCACCAAGGTGGGTTCATCATCATCCCTCCCAGCCTCCATCATATGATCAGCACTTTGTACTGATGTTTAGCATCTCATGACTGAACTCTTGCATTATAAAAACTGCCACAACTGCCATGAGCATTTCTTGTACAGATGCGAGCTCTGAGTGTAGAGGTCATGCACAACATGTCAAGAGGAGATAGGGCTGATAAAATGCCACATTTTATGCACAAGACGGGAAAACATGCAGGACCTGAATGACCTGCTGTTTCAATGGTTTGTGCAGTCTGTAGCCTGGATAGTCGGAAACAGAGAAAGTCCCCAGGGATGGGTCATATGACACACTGCAGTTCCTCTGCTGTATCATTTGACTGTGTAGTCAGTCCCTGTGGGCGTCATCCTCTCCAGAATAAAGCGCTGATAGAACTGCTGGTACTGTGTGTACACATATGTGGAATTAGCTCCAACTTGTGCTCTCGCACATGTTTGCTGACCTCGCCAATAGGTGCCCATTGTTAGAAGCTCCACAGCCTTGAAGTAAAAATGTAGATCTCTCTGTGAGTTTTCTGAGATTGTCCAGTTGTTGTTTTTTTAGCATTTTGCTTTTGTAGATTTTATCTTCTTTAATAAAAGAAATTGTAGAAGATGTCATTATTGACCATTTTAGAGTTTTTTAATATAGAAAAATGTAAAACAGATAAAAAGTATCAGAAAAATTGAACAGACTATTTCTGTTACTGCAGGGATTACAGAAAAAAATAGTACAGTATTGAGCTTTCACGATTCTGATAGGTCGATTTTATTATTCCTTTTTTTTTTAAACTTTTGATAAACAAAAGGATCAAAATAGATTTTATTGATCCCTCACTGGGGAAATTAACATGTTCCAGCAGCTAGATAACAATAAAGCATGATAAAAACCAAGGCAAGAGATCTAAAAGTAGAATATATAAAGAAAAGTAAAGAAATAAAAGAAGATAATAAAGACTATTCACACTTTAAGCCCCTTCCACATGTACAGAAGTAAATATGGGATTGCACTTAAAAAGCTGTAAAGAAAAGCTGTGTTACTTTGTTATTGCACTTAAAAAGTTATAAAAAGCAACTGTGATATATTGTGTTCTGGTCACATTAAATATTCTAACTACTGAAGGAAAAAAGCAGCAGCCCTGAAGTTCTTTCTCACACTGTGGGTGCAGCATGTGTCCCAGCAGGCTGTCTCCCTTTTCTCCAGTGTTCTTGCAATGCTAAGCTAAGCTAACCATCTCCTCACTGTAGCTTAATATTTAATCGAAAGATATGTGTGACATTAATCTGCTCTAATCCTTGTGAAGAAAGGGAACAGGAAGATTTAAGAGGTGTGACCACATTGCAAAGTGCCAGTGTTCTGGCCTCTTTACACCGGTGCCAGCATGTTTCAGGACTGATTTTTAAGCTGTTTGGGCACTGCTGAGCAAATTCACACATTTTGTTGATATTTTTATTTGTAGTAAATGCAATGAGCCATTCTGCAAATCATAATGTACTGTTACTTTTTATTTCATGAAGCTAAATTGTGGTATTTGAAACATGTTTTTTTAATTTTATTTTATTTTTTATGAAGCTGAGAGTTTTTCTGATCTTGATGTTTCTTCCTTGCAGATCACTTCAAGTTCTTACATATTTTTAAGCTGTTTTGCACACATGCCATATTTACTCACAGATAGATTGTGATGTTCAAGTTAGAGAACTGTCAAGGCCTTTATTTTACTTCAGAATATTTTTCTGAACATAGCTCATGGTGGACTTGAGGTTTGTTTTGGATCATTGTCACATTAACCTCAAAGCAGAGCATTTCTGCCCAACAGCTGGCCAGGTGCTCTTTCACCAAATTCTACTCTTTCTTTTGCATCCAAACATATACAGTATTTGATTATTGTGGCCAAATACTTGTTTCCAAAATGCATTAGTATGCTGCTGTGCATACTTTTTCAAAACGTTAGCTTTTATTGTGCAGCCGCAGGTAGAGTTTTCTTCAGATGAAGCTTCCACATCAACTCTATTTGAGCATCTTTGCTGCACAGTGGAAGGATGAAACAACACTCCTGTGTCAGCTCAGCATTTCTGCTGCTTCTTTTGCAGTCACTGGAAGGCTTTGCTTTGCTTTTCTGTCCAGAAATTTGCAGTTAAATCTGAAGGTTTTTCTTCACAATTAAAAAAATAAATAAATTACACTTCTTGAATTTATTTATAGCATTTAAAAAAATAAAAATCATAAGCTGGAAGTGATATGGAGAGTTAGAGAGACTGATAATTTATCCGTTCCTAATGACAATTCTTGACCTGCCTGATCAGTCTTCAGAAGTCCATTTTGGCTCGTTATTCACATGCCAATGTGAAAAACAAGCCAACAGTTATGGTTAATATTTCTCTATCTTTAGGTATAAGAAATGAACAGTTTATAGTGTTTGTTTCCTGGATTAACGTTGGTTCACAAATCAACAAAATATGCAATTTCGTCAGTGCTGCCCAACTGTATTTGTGACCTTTTTGTCCCTCAGTGTGTTTGCCCAAAAACTGCTGCTAACAGAGCCTTTGTAGTCTGAGCCCAGAGGCTTTGGAATGACCCCGATAAAGTAGGGCAGCTAAATGTGAACGTTTTAGAAAACTGATTTCACTTGAATTTTACCGGGATTTTCTTGATTTTATTTGTCTTTTTAGAACTTGTTCTATTTATTACCTGTATGTTTCCTGTTTATTCTTTGCTACTGCAACACAAAAAAATATAATAATGCTAATCTTCCTCCTCCAGGTAATCAACATCATCAACGCAGCGCAGGAAAGCAGTCCCATGCCCGTGGCAGAGGCCTTGGATCGTGTACTGGAGATCCTGAGGACCACTGAGCTTTACTCCCCACAGCTGGGCACCAAGGATGAAGATCCCCACACGAATGACCTCGTGGGGGGGCTGATGACGGTAAGAAACAGGCCCCTTCAGAGCACGAAGGTCCTTCAAGAAGTCCGAAACACCCAAACAGCTTCCTTCCGCTACGCATGAATCAGCTCCTATATGATAACAAATGAATATCCACCAAGCATGCGTGATGAAAGGCCGAGATATGGTAAATATGGGACACATTCGGGAGCTTGTGGACTTTTGTTTTTGAGAGGATTTCTACTCATATTTGGGGGAGAGAGAGAGAGGAGAGAGAGAGATTAACAGACAGCAATGGTGAAGAACAGAAGTAGAAAGAGTGCCAAGTTGGCAGTCTTGGCAACAACCCCAGAGGAAGTGTTAGATTGTCCTTTGTGCTCCTGTAGGCTGGAGAGGAAAGCCCACCCCACCCTTTCTTTCTCCCCCTCTCTCCCCCTCCCTCCCTCCCTGTCTCTCTGCACACATGCACACAGTCACACTCACATGAACCTTTTCCTCTCGACTCCACAGGCCTGGAAACATCCTGTTCTTTGGATCAGATGAATAAGCATGGCTTTACTTATACATGTACGCTGTGGAAACACAGAGGCACAGAGGTGTTAGTCCTTCACCACAAAGATTTGTTCTGCATAAGTGATGAAGGCTGATGGAACCAGAAAACCATGAGGTGTTTGTCCCGGTTTGGATGATTATTTTATGTGCGATCAGATTTGGTTTATGAGGTGCCTGGTTGGGTTTGTATTTCCCAGGACTTGGTTTCCAGTTTGTTATGGTGAAGGGGCTGCTGGGTCTGAACTCAGGAGACCCAGTGAACATTCGGAGAGAAGCTGTCATCTTTCTGGGAGAAAATCTTAAAATAGCCAGTGTGTACAGAGGCAGCGCCACCATGAGACAATGCTCAGGTCAAAGATGAGCCAGGCTCCTCTTCCTTTTGCACTTGCGAAGTAAACATTTCACTCTGTGACACACACCCATGTAACACTGACAACCTATACATATATATAGATGCAGTATGTCGTGCACCCGCTTGACTGGAAGATACAAGCCATGCAAGTCATTTGAACAAGTGGCAAGTTGCCAAAATGTTGTCTCAATGAAGTGCAGATTGTTTTAATGTCATGGTTTTCTTATTATTGTTGAATGTAATTTAATGACACACAACATCCCAAGGTGATAGTTTTGTACTACATGAATATAAATGTCTAAATCAAAAAAGATTTAATTTTTGCTCTTTGTCTGATATTCTTTGAGAGATGCATAAATGGAGACATTAAACAAGATTAGGATGCTGGTGGCTCTGTAAGACTGTGAGCTACATGCTAACATCAAATGGCAACATGCTGAGGTTCACCATATTGCTAAAAACACTTTTAACAACTAAACTTTTTTCCCAGGTAACGTAAACCAATCTCTATTATCGTTCAGCCTCTGGGGAGTATGAATGTTTGTGCAACATCTCGTGGCAATAAATATTTCTCTTCACCTTTCACACTCTTAACACACGGCCTGTAATACACAGCTGGTACAGATCACAGGATGATTATACATCTCATCGCACGTTTGATTATTTGGGTGATGAAGTGTTTCCCCACTGATAGGCCCCATTTGCTATCACAGCGTGCAGCAATCCCCAGAGGATGGTAAATGTCATAATGAAATAATTTATCCGGCATATGTGCATAAATTACCGCTCTGTCATTTCTGACACAACTATTACAGTTCATAAATATGGTAATTATATTTTAAACTGCATACTGGTTTCATTAATAAGCTCAGTTTGGTCACCCCTCCTGTACCCTTGTGCACGCTCATGAAGGAAAAGGTACGAGGTTTCGGCATATTATAGCATCCAAGAATTGGTATCATAGCACAGCCAGGAGAACATTCATAAAGATCTTCATTCAGGGAAAAAAAAAATTATTTCTACTGTCAATACTTTGTCGAAAAGCCGTAAAAAGGCACAGAGTTAAGAAATAAAAAAAATCACATGTCAAGTAACAAACAGTTTTTAAGTGCTCTAAGTAGTGAGAAAACCGTCTGAAAATGTGTTATTAAGAATCTCGTTATGGTTCAAGATTTTAGGTTTCAGTTTTAACTGGATACAACATCCATATATGTCAATATTAAAAAATATATTTTCTTGCCTGCTGTTTTGCTAGAACTCCTCATTGAGGCTAAATCTGATATGCAACTTATGTCATTTTGTGAGTCAACAAAACATACATACATTCTGCATCCAGTCCAAACTGATGTCTGTGTTTGTGTTCGTGCTTCTTGTGGTTGTAATTCAGCACACTTTTATATTAAATGTCTCAGTGAAACAATTCAATTCAAAGCATCCAAACTGTCCAAATTTTTTGGACGCAAAAATCTTTCAGTTTTGTTTCAGATGTAAAGCTTGTGCTCTTAACACTGAGCTAAACTAAGTATCTGACCGTTTTAAAAAGGATGAATGATGGATTTATTCATGTTGTGTATGCAGTCATTTCCCCCCTACTCTTCCTTAGTCCCTGAAACTTTCTTTCTCTCTTTCTTTCTTGTTTGCAGGATGGTTTACGCAGATTGTCAGGAAATGAATACATCTTTTCCACAAAACGTGAGTTTACATTAAACCTACAGCATGTTTGGGCACTAAGTGCTGCAGCTTTAGAGTTACTTTTATTTTTACCAGCTCTGTTGTTTTTAACACTCCAAATCATTTTTTTTTCTTTTTTTTTTCTGCCTGTGGTTCAGCCAAAGGTAACGGACAACACATTTCTAAGCGTCCCCCTCTTCATCTGAATGCCTCCTTTCTTGTCTCTTCAGAGCCCCACCATCTCCCCAGTCACCTGACAACTCCTCTGTCACTAAATGACATCCCCCCTCGCATCGCCCAGACCATGGAAAATGAGGACTCTTGGGACTTTGACATCTTCAACTTGGAAGCTGCAACCCTGAAACGGTGAGGCAACAGCCCACTTAAGAGCAGACAGAAGGACGTGTCTGTGTCTTTTTCTAGGGAGCTTGGGATGAGAGTTTGTGTTTAACTACCATGTTGAATCCTCCTGCAGGCCTTTGACCTACTTGGGCCTGAAGATCTTCTCCCGCTTTGGGGTCTGCGAGTACTTAAACTGCCCTGAAGCCACTCTGCGCTCCTGGCTACAAGTAATTGAAGCGAACTACCACTCCAGTAACTCCTACCACAACTCTTCCCATGCAGCTGATGTCTTGCATGCAACAGCATATTTTCTCTGCAAGGAGAGAGTCAAGGTAAATTAGCAGGACACTTTAAAAGTGCATGAAAACTCAGACTGATGCTTCCAATGTGGCAGCACAGATAGTTGTTATCGAATTGCATGGCTGGATTTGGTAGATTATCTAGATTCTGGAGGTTTCTATTGTCGAGCGCCACAGCGTTGGGTGTCAAGTGCTCCATCGGAGCCTACTCTGTCCTAGAAAGTCATGCCCAAGTGTGTCAGTGGCTCAGTAACCGGTCGAGGGCCTGCACTGGTTAAGCTGATTACCAAACCGTCTATTTCGGATCTCAGTCGAGTGATCTTTCATTGGCTTAGCCGGTGAACTGTGAAGTTACATCACCCAAGGTTAATGAATTCCTGGAAGTCTGCAGACAGGTTAGCTGCTCTGTTATGTTGCAAATTAATTGAAAAATGATCCGCATACTCTTGTATACGACACTTTTTCTTTTTTTCCCCTATAGTTGTGTGACACAAACTACTCAGCAAAACACAAATTACTTCTTAAACATGACTCCTAAACTTACAAGTAGTTGAGTGCAGCTTTTATTTTGTATGTGCTCAGTTACTACTGTCTAAATTGAAGATAAAACAAAGGTTTAAAAATGAGAATACATTTTTAAAAATTCAACAAATGAAGTATTTTCAGTATATTGGGCAACATTAGAAGTTCGCACATATTTCTGGCTGGTCAGTTACATGTGTTTAGTTTAATTTAGCTAAAGTAAGGCGAATAATTGATGGATTATTTTCTATTTATAAATCATGACTGTCTGCTACAGTGTAGAGCTACTTCTTGATTAAATTAAATTAGCACTTTTATTCATATAGCAGTAATATTCTTATTATTATGTGCAGTATTTCAATTTAATTTGCATTGTTGTTTTTACTTTGCCAGAACCATTTCCAGCATTACTTCTTACTTTTGAATCTAGTCTTAGTTTAGCTTGCATATTTTAGATTTTTAGTAATGTGCTATGCATTTATCTTATTGCTTTGCTATGAGGCACTGCATTTTATGTTGCATGTTCTATCTTTTTTTTTTTTTTTTGCAATATCTGGCACATAAATTTACTTTGGGATTACTACATTTCTATGTTATCTTAACCTACAATTCACAACATATGCCAGCTCAAGGCGCTCCATATAGACAGGTGAAGACCCTGCAAAATTATACAGATAGACCCAACAACTCCCTTCGAATAAGCACTTGGCAACAGATTCAGCCTGCAGGCTAAACTGGATGCGTAGTGAATGTAGTAGAAAGTTACACTGCAGCAACTTTTGACCTAGTCAACCAGTCAGAGCTGCCAAACTTCACATCTGCTAGCAGTAAGACTTGAGTTGTAAAATACTAGACTTAAACTTAAATGAAAATGTGTCCAGTTTCATATTTCTAATGCTTATGTGTCATTTGCCCCATCAGCAAAGCTTGGATCACATCGACGAGGTAGCCGCTCTGATTGCTGCCACTGTGCACGATGTGGACCATCCGGGCCGAACCAACAGCTTTCTGTGCAACGCGGGGAGCGAGCTGGCAATCCTCTACAATGACACAGCTGTGCTAGAAAGTCACCACGCGGCGCTGGCCTTCCAGATCACCACGAGAGATGATAAGTGCAACATCTTCAAGAACATAGAGAGGTAGGAGATCCAGGGGACAGGACACCGCAAACATTGCCTCTTGGGTTAAAGATCCCAGAATCACCGAACACAAACCTAGTACCTGCCGTAAACCTTAACAGTTAACAAGTGGATACGGCTGTAGTATTTAGCTACAAGTCTGAAAATGATTAAAATATCCATCATTTCTGCAAAGAATGCAAGTCATTTTATTTAACTGTAAATCAGAGGAGTTCATTTTGAGCTCAAAAGAACGATATTACGAGCTCACCGAACATCATTTACTGACACAGCATGGATAAAATGATCTCTATGTTTCAAATTATTACCTTGATGTATTCCAAATTAATTGAATTTGCTGACTTCTGTGCAATTTGAGCTATTAAACTCAGTTGAATTAACGTATTTTTTTAAACAAACTCTGCTTTTAGATGAACCCATAAACTCTAATACAGAGAATATTTGTATATGTCAATCAGGACAATTCATATTTTATGTCTGGAAATACAGCCGGGACCTAAAGTGTCATTGGGGATAAGCTGAGGGTGCATATGCATCGATGAAAGAAATAGTGTGTGTGTGCGTGTGTGTGTGTGTGTGCGCGTGCGCGTGTGTGCATGTGCGCTGACAGCGGCGGGATAGTAATGTGATTTGAGTCCCAAAACAGAATAGCTCACATGTGCTGGTCCCCTCGGAGGGGGAAGGTGAACAAAGCACCCATTCATCGCCACTGTCACCGCAGTCAGAAGGGGAAAACTGTTCACACGGGTTTCCATGCTATTTACCACACTGTCATCTCACTCCCTCTGTTTTCTCTTGTTCTCTTCTCCCTGCCTTTTCCCTGCATCTGATTTCTTCCTCTCTAGGAACGAATATCGAACATTACGACAGGCCATCATTGACATGGTGCTCGCAACCGAGATGACCAAACACTTTGAACACGTCAACAAATTTGTCAACAGCATCAATAAGCCGCTGGCTGCTCTGGAGGAAAATGGGGTGAGATTAAAAAGGAAATCATGATGAAACACCTTTCTTTTTTCTTTTTTTTTCTCCTACATTTCATACCTGTGTAGAAATAGTACCTCTAATTTTAGCATTTTTTTCCCCCTAAATGAATCAGTGTTGTGCGTCAGTGAAGGAAGGACGCGTAATAAGATAAACGCAGCTATTGTAATCTCATTCTGTCACACACGGTAGCAGAATCATTCTCTACCAGAGTGAAAGCAACAATAGTTTAGGAGCTTTAGAGATAATGGTGCTGGTTCTGGGGACTCGCGGCCTGTTGTTGCCTCGGTTCAGATATCTTTGCAGGGAGAGAATTTTACAACTTGGTACCATCTTTCTCATCCCTGTGTGGAATGCTCAACACAGACATTTAAAAGTTGTCTTGCCTTTTAAAGGCAGAAGTGATATGAATAAATGATTTTAAACACGTTGTTTGATTGAGTTTTTGGTATTAATTGCATCAGAGGTGACATTTATGTATTAAAAGAATGCTTTGGAAAGCAGCCTTTGTATCGTACATGCGCTATAATTTAATTTTAAAGTTAACCTCAAGTCTTGAAGGTTTAGAATCTCTCATCTTAACCCAATAAAACAGTCCTTATGTACTTTTGTTCAACATAATTATCTGAGTATTCAGTCTTAAAACACAAAGGCGCCTGCAAATCATGTGACCACATGAAGCACGCTGTACTCATTTACATGTAAGTGTAACCCATAATGAAATGTTAGAATTCTTCTTCTCCATGAAGAAAATAATACCATTTATCTACTGCAAGTGTCACCTGTATCTCTCCAAGTTATAAAAAGACAGTTATTTCATAAAAAAATATATCTGTCATAAGGAGATGTTTATTGCAACTAATAAGCAAAACTTCAGTTGTCTTTGCACTACAACTTTGTTTCTGTTGTATTTTTCTCAGGGTAACAGTGATGAGGAATCTGTCAAAAGCATCCTGACGTCTCCCGAGAATCGCATCCTCGTCAAGCGGATGCTGATTAAGTGTGCAGACATCTCCAATCCATGCAGGCCTCTGGAGCTCTGTATAGAATGGGCCGGACGCATCTCAGAGGAGTATTTTGCACAGGTAATTAGAAAAAAAATAATACAGTGTCAGTGGAGATGGAGCCAGTAGGCAGCAGCTGCATTACGAATGTTTTTTTTGTAATTGATGTATTTAATGTGCTTTTGCTCTTGTCCCTGGTGCAGACGGACGAGGAGAAGAGACAAGGTCTACCAGTGGTTATGCCTGTGTTTGACAGAAACACATGTAGCATCCCAAAGTCCCAGATTTCCTTTATAGACTACTTCATTACGGACATGTTTGATGCATGGGATGGTAAGACTTCACACGAGAGAAATACACAATATTACAAACTGGGATACAATTAGCTGTCTTTTAGGTGAGTTATAGTGGGGGTTTTTTTGGTTGTTTTTTTTGCAAGTAGCCCACACAATGTCAATGTCATGTTTAGAAATCTCTGCACACTGCATGTCATTTAATACAGCTGCTAAATTAAAAACCTGATTAAAGTTCCATCATTTTTTAAATATATTTTTAACCTGCAAGTCTTGGGGATGCAGTATCTGTGCAAATGCTGACCTCATTGAGCGGGTCCAAGCTACATTATCAAATCAACTCAGTTCATTCATATACCTTAAAACAACCTGATTTGTCCTCCCAGAGAGGACGGCTGAGGATGAAGCCTCTCTGATTCACTGTCAAAACTCAGTGGACTTTAATAGTTATTTTTCATTAAATAAACCAAATATATTTATATTGTTTGTTTAAAACAGGCTGAGTTGACCAAAGTGCTTTACATGTTATCAACCAAGCACACTCACATTCACACCTATGGACAATTTAGGATCACCAATTAACCTCAACATGTTTTTGGACTGTGGGAGGAAGCTGGAGAACCCGGAGAGAACCCACGCTGCACGGGGAGAACATACAAACTCCCGACAGAAAGATCCCGGGTGTCCTTACTGGACGACAACCAGGCTGCTAACTACCACCGAGCAGCCCCCAATTAAACACATTTTAAAGTTTTACTTGAAAATATCAATGGAGGAAGAACATTTAAATAAAATACACAGCTTCTTTGATAGTGTCATTTTAAAAGTCAATGTTTTCATTAATTAGCAGATTCTGGTATCAGATCAATATGAGGAATCAGTCCTTGCTATGTGCACATATCCTGTTAAGGTTTAGGAGCTTGGAGAGAAAAGGTTTGTTTTTAAAAGCATGTCTAAATAAGATAGAGGTGTTCATTTAAATAAACGCTTGGCACTGTCTTGAAAACAAAATCTGATTTTAAGCCACGACTCTTTTTGTGTCTTCTCTCCAGCTTTTGCAGACCTCCCCAATCTTATGCAGCACTTGGACAACAACTTCAAGTACTGGAAAGGCCTGGACGAGAGGAAGCTGCACAGCCTGCGACCACCTCCAGAGTAGCAGCGCTGCAGCGTTCGGCCCTGGGACCCTGCATTTCCGGGGCGGACCTCCTCTCTCCTGCTGGGGCGTCTCTCTCCCTGCCAGCCCAGTCAGCCAAAGGGGCCTCCTCGCCTTCACCCTCCTGCTTCTGTAGCACGCCGAGCATCCACATGTCCGTCCATACAGAAACCACAGAAGGACTTCCTGACGGGCGGTTTCGCGGCAGTAACGTTGCCGGCTTTTTTTTTTTTTTTTTTTACAAGCCTGTCAGATGAGAACTGTGACAAAACAGACACACAGCATCCTTTATGAACTTCTTGTGCCCCTCAGGCATTTTGCAGTGTAGCTGGTCAAGTGACATGACTGAGAGGGGGGGAGGGAGGGAGGGGGAGGGTCGTCGCAGGTCTCCTGGCAAAGCATCCGTCCCCTGATCACCACGTGGGAACTCCTGTTTGCCTGTGAAGTTGCTGTTTGAGTTTGAAAAAAAACAAATAAACTGCTTGTTTCCTGAAGGAGCGGATGGAAGTGCGGTCTGCAAATGAAGGTGTCCGATCCACGTCAGGCCATATAATCACTTTTGACCTCCATCCCTGTGCTCGCAGCAAGACAGGACTGCTCCTTCAACCCCTGGAGGCCACACCATGAAAGAACACTCCACTGCTTTTTTTTTTTGTTTGTTTGTTTGTTTGTTTATTTTCGGGCAATATTTTCACGTGTCCTTCAGAAACACATCCGAGTTGACACGTAAGCTGTCACACAACAGACATGTGAGAGGGGGATGCTGTCTTCGTGGGTCGGGGAGTGGACCTTTATCGGAGGCCACCGCTGAGAGACAAACACCTCAACATCATGATCATAGGTATCTAATTACAGATGATTTGGTATGTTAATTTTTCTTAGATGTTCCATATTTTCTATATTAAAATTCATAAATGAATTAGTTGATAAATAAGAACAAAATGAATTTAAAAAGATAGCGACAGAGTGAGAGAGAGAGAGAAAGAGAAGAAAAAAAAAAGCCAAAGCTAATAAAGACAAACGCTACTATAACTCTCAAAAAAAAAATTCACAATTATTATTCATATGAAGCATTACCATATTAAACATTTTTATTTTCTTATCAAAAGTACAGTACCAGTTTGAATGAACACTTTTGTATTGCACTGTAAACAATATTAGAAATGTCTACGTCTCAGTGATTTGTCCAGGGATGGGATGTTGCATTGGAGAATAAGCTGTTATCGTCGATCATCAGGAGTTTGTGTGTGTGTGCGCGTGCGTGTGTGTGAGTACGTGTGGGTATGTTGTAGTTGTCGGTGCGAGTGTGTGGGTGTATTCATTGTTGCAACAATCCCGTACTCTTGGTTTAATGCTGTAAACCGCTTGACATTTGACAACAGCAGAAA